TTTTTTTAGCTCCAGAGGTCAAAGTTGGATAGATATCACCACTGCTTCTCTCGACCGCTCTAATCTCATTACAAACTGGAAGGTCCTCCAGGATGTTTCGCTTAGTGAGCACGCTTACCTGCACTTTGAAATGACCACCTCAACCAACATCAGAGACATCGACCCTTCGCTGCGTTACAACCTGTCTTGTGCCGACTGGGAAGGCTTCACTCACTTCCTCCAAACCAAGTTAACCATTTATAACCCCATGGACTTGGAAGATGCCCACAATTTTATTAACAACTCCATCAATAACATAACTACTGCCTGCAATCTTTTTATCCCACGTACTTCCCTCCATCGTAAGACCGTTCCCTGGTGGAATACTGATCTCACTGGCATGCGAAACCACGTCAGGCACCTACGCAAGTCTTTTCAACGATGCAGGAGTGAGCCGCAGCGCAGTCAACTCAAAGAAAATTACATTGATTACCAAAAAACATACAAACAAAAAATTAAACCTTATAGAATTCGTATTTTAAAATAATTGTTTTAAAATCTATGCAAACTATTATCGACAAAAGAAAGGAATTGCTGGACCAAAATTGACTGATATTTGTATGATACCGATAGATGAAAAGACATCACAAGTTCAAGGTATTAAATATTATGCATGATACGTAGACGATATACTGATTATATATGATTCACAAATAATTTTACCCTAAAATATTGAAAAACATGCTAATAAGATAAATAAAAATTTAAAGTTTACAAGTGACGAAGAACAGAATCGAAGACAGGAAAATTATATTTGTATATCTATTTTAAAATATGTAATTCAATACAAAAATATATTGACACTACATTAATTTCACTTTTTATAAAAATATTAAAATTACTGTTTTTTTTTTCTGTAATTTTTGTAAAAAATTATTTATACTTTTATTTTCAGTATTCTTCACAGACTTAATATTTTTTCTAAAAATTTTATTTTTTAACAGAGCAGTTATTAAATTATAAAATTTTATATTTGATCTCTGTCTTCTATGTACACTACATGTGTGCACATGTAAATACATTTAAAATAGCTATTAAAATTTTACTTATTGGCTAATTATTAAAACTTTAAGTTTTGAGAAAAATCTAAACTTGTGCAATTATAAAATTTAGTTGTTTGATTTATCATACAAAAGTCCATTTTATATTATAGTTATGTTTACATTAGTACCAAACGAAAGTTTTGAACTGTTTTGAACAAATAAGAGCTATTTATTTATTTTGTTAGATGACTGATTTTATTGGGCTGCAATTTCAAAAAATTGTAGACTTATAAATTTCCACTGTTGTCTGTCTTCCTGTCTGTCTTTAATCTCGAGAACGATATTACTGAAATGCTTTGTACTATTACTGAAATGCTTTGTAAAGTCAAGACCAAATGTAAAAAGCTTACGGAAGAAGGCTTCAATTAATTATATACATTAGAGCGTCGTTTATCCTAATCAATTGTGGACTGAGGTTCAGCTAACTTATTTTTCGGATAACCGATTATGCACGAAAAAATATATTAACCTATCCCATTTTGAAATTTTTCTCCATTGCGTGTCGCTTTGCGTTGAATTTTCGTCGATGTTAAGCTTAACTTAAATTTTTTAAAATAATAGTCGTGGCTATTGTATCGTTAAAAATTATTTTTTTAGTTTTTACAAATTATACTTTAGAAGTTGATCTAGTATCAAAAACGTTCGATTGAGCATGACACACAGTCCTCAGTGTCATGCTCAATCACCACACAAAAGTGCCAGTGCTACCAGCAAAAACACACACACCAACAAAAATATATTGGAGAAGTCCAAGATGTAGCCAAAGATTGCATTGCCACAGCACTAGCGAAAATTTAAATTTGCTGACTAGAATTCTTTCGGATAACTGACGTTTCGGATAACCGACTTTCGGATAAACGACGCTCTACTGTACTAACTTCTGCTGTAGACTGAAAGTTACGTGATTTCGATTCAAAACTTTCCTTCAGCACAGAGTTACATAAATGACAGGCATGACTGTTGTTATCAGAAAAAGTATGATGTACAGGGGTAAGACGCTAATAATTTGAAATTCAGACCATATGCTTTAAATTAAATAAATTAAATATATGATTAAAAACTTCAGCCGGCATTGTGGCGATGTCACAATAATTTTGTTCGATTTATAATTATTTTTAATTTCCCCATTGTTATGTAGGCCTATACATAAAAAGGGAAGGAATTGGAATCGTGCCAAATTTGATTCTCTGAGTATTTGCAAATCTGTACATTTGTAGATAAGTTAAACTGGAAAAGAATCAAAACAAGGTAGAAAAAATTCTGCATGCGCGCCTATAACAGACATAGATGCTATTAAATTTTGTTGCATGGCTCTGAAGTTGCGTAAAAATCTACCAACTCCAACTCCGACTCCGACTCCGACTCCGACCAAGGGAGGACTTGTTACCGAAAGAGACCCGGAAATTCTGATGGTATCACGTTACCTCAGAATAAAAGATTCAATAAGTAGAGTTCTAATAAAGATAGAGCATAGAAATTTTTTTCCAACGCTACAAGACTCCTCTAAGTAATATATAAATATGTATTCGATAATTTTTACTTTTCCGGCTGTTATACAGAAGGAAAGTGTAGCTCCGGGTCAAAAAATGACCCTTTCCAAATTTTTACATTTTTCGACTCATGACACCTTGAAATTTCGAGATATGCAAAAGATTTGAGTTTTTTTTTCTATATGTGTGGATGTTAGACTGTCTGAGGGGCATAATTTTGTTTACCCTGTTTGAAGTCTAATCATTTCTGTGGTCAGAGTGGTCAGAATCGGAGTCAGATGAGGACACAGGAGTTAGTTATTAAGCGTCAAAGTGGTTGAACTAAATCCTGTCCCCATATACATTCTAACATCTTAGGCGAGAACATCTTAACGGGTTTTACTGTACCATTATAAAATGACAAAAAAAAATTATTTTGAGGGTAGAGAGGAGTTTTATTTCTGTTTTTAATTTTGAACGCTAATAAATTAAGAGATATGACACATGACCCCTTTTATGTTTTCACCCTGTCGACCTTTAATTAAGAACCAAAATTTAATTGTAGAGGAGAATGCGGTATTATGGAACCCCAATTACATTTTAGTGAATTGTAAACAAGGTATCATAACTACACCCACATTTATGGAATTATGGTATTTATGGTATTATGGAACCCCAATTACATTTTAGTGAATTGTAAACAAGGTATCATAACTACACCCACATTTTTTGTGCGAATCGTACCGGTAACTATTAATCTAAATGTTCCTAATTGGATTTTTCATTAGTGTAATTATAAGTATGGTTTTTGAAGGTTTTTGTACAAAAAGTCAGAAAGTAGGCTTAGAGAAAATCGGATGGTAATACAGAACCTTACCGTATATTGTCAAAAAATACTTTAATATAGCCAAAAACAAACAGGAAAGTACAAAAAATGTTAAATAATTACAAAATTATTTACTCCAATGTATTTTATTGCAATAATGCTTTTATAATAAAAAAAAATATGACCTCCGTCAACAAAATATATTCCCGCAGCTCTTTTTCGATATTCTCGGGAAGTATTGACTTTCTACCTAGTGTCTTTTTCACAAATTGCTCCGGACGAATGTCTGCTTGCAAAGAGAGAGTTCGGAGAAGTTCAGTTCCTATTACTGTAAAAGCAGCAATGGGGTCCGTATTTCACGCATCGCCATCTCGAATTAACTTATGTCTGTCGAGACCAAAATTTAAAAAACGTGAACATCACACAGATTAGTATGTACCCCTAAGTCTCTGGAACGGAATACATGCACCAGTGAACCTACAACTATATGATTTATATTTTAAAAATAATTAAATTCATTCAAAACTTTCGAATTTTTAAATAAACAAATTTGCTTATTAAATATGGACAACCGTTCGACTGAAGTAAAACGAGTTTTCCCCTAGCTATGGATGTCTGCCTAGTTCAGTTCGGCCACAATCCGCTACAGTTCGCTTTTATTACAGTATCAGTTCGAAATGGAGTTGTTCCATAATACCCGCAGTGTTCCATAATACCCGCAGTGTTCCATAATACCAGTTTTTCCTCTATTAATGTCCCTTTATACGCAAACCACAGTGCCACATTTCGTTTCTTAAACTTTACTCATTCTAAAATATTGTTCAATATCTCAGAATAGAAAATAAAGAAATTAAACAAATTAGTCGTTGGGACACATACGAAACGCACACACACGGACGGGAATTTTTTCCCCATTTATTGACTTTTTTGAGTGGTTCGGGAGGTCTCCAAACGTGTAGAGTTGCAAAAAAAAAAAAAAACTAGAGGGTCAAATTTGACTCGATTCCAATACTTTTCCGATTTATATACATAACAAGTTGGGAAGTAAAAAGAAGTCGGAGTCGGCGGATTTTTTGACGACTCCAACTCCGACTCCGACTCCAGAGCCGTGTTTTGTTGGTTAAGGATCGAGGATTACTCTATTAGCATTTACAATTTTTATAAAACTTGTCTCTACCCTCAAAATTAATTAACCATTTTGCTGTTTTATAATTTGATATGTTTAATTACTTAAACGATAGGGGAGTGATGTGTTATAATACCTCACAATAATATTATTGAAATGCTTTGTAATTTGATTTATGTATGTCATCAAAGTATTTTTTCAATACGAATAGATTGCTCGTGTACTTGTGGAATGGTCGTTCCCGAATTATGAAACCATACTGATTTAATCTAATTTGATCATATTTCAATTAAAATATACAATAACTTTTATCTCCTTGTCATATTTTTAAGGTTTAAAAATAATTAGTGTAAGATTAAAATGATATTGTCTTTCGCACAGTTACTAGCAAATACAGAAATAATGCATTTTTTATACATTCTAGGAAAATAGATTTTCTTACAAGTTTTGATTTTGCAAATAAATTATGCAATAATTTGCAATAAGGTTAAAACCAGTATAATTTTATATAATCTATACTGTAGCATCGCACAAACATTTAGTAATATTAAGCATTAAGCTTATAGCTGTACAGTTATATCGCATAGCTTCTAAACCGTTTTGTGAGATATTTGTACACTTTTGCATATATAGTGATTTGATGTTTAATAAATTCTTTTGTTAAAATACAGTATTTAAATAAAACATTTGCAATCACTTCATAGCCTTATTCACTCCATCTCTGGATATAAAATAATTCGTAATGTATTTCTACATTTCTTGAAAGAAATCTACTGCAAATTTGCAATAGTTTGAAGTTCATGTATATTTGTCTTGTATTTTAAAACTACAGTAGAGCCTCGATTATCCGACTCAATTAAGGACTGGGGTTGGTCGGATGATTGAAAAGTCGGATAACCGAAAAGTATGAAAAAATCCATTATTAGTGTAGTATATTATTATATCCCATGTAATTATTATATTAGTATATTAGAATGTCGCTGTTAATCTACTTCGCGTTGAATTTTCATCGATGTTAAGCCTAACAAAAATTTTTTAAAATAATAATCGTCGCTATTATATCGTTATAAATTAGAAAATTAAGCCTCGTTTTAATACTGGCTTCCTTTCATGGTGGAATGAGTGTTTCCAGCTAAAACACGTAAAAAAATATTAAAGTAGCCAAGACACAGCCAAATATTGCAGCGCCACATCACTAGCGGACATTTGAAATTTGCCGACTAGGACAATCGGTTAACCGAGGTGACAGTAAATCGGGGGTCGGATAATCGAGGCTCTACTGTATTACTTATTTCCTGTACGTTTTGTACTTCAATTTATAATATTGCATATTGTTAAACAGAAGAAAATACAGACCAGATACGTAGAGCTTAAGTGCGGGTTATATTCGATCTGTTAAATAAAAAATATTATATGCTTAAACATTGCATTTCCCATAACACTCTTATATTATTATTATTATTTTTTTTTTTTAACTTGGACATTGTTTAATATAAAAATTTGATTAGGATATCTTAAAATAAATCCTTATATAAAATATAAATAATATTCAAACTACTTTATATTAAAATCGAAAAGGAAAAACTTCTCCGATTATGAAATTTCTAATTCCTAAATAAATTATCAATTATGAAATAAATCAGTAAAATAGAAAACCTGTTTAATTTTTTTCCCTTTCAAAAAGTAGGAAAGTTACAGGAAAAAGCAGTCAGATCTTCCACATTTCCTTCGACAATTAACCGTTCAGGTAACATTAATATTTATTCGCATTTTAATATTCATATAATACTTTATTTTTCTTAGCACCCAATAATATCGAATATACAATAAGTTGAGTAAATTACATTATTATTTTCAGATAATACATTGGTAATGAATACTGTATTAGAAATTTCTTATATTTTTCCATTCTCTAATCAGTGCTTTTAGATTCGTATAATTTCTAATCCCTAAAGAGTAAAAACCTACCCTTATTGTAATGACGATAATAAAAGATTTGCGTTTTTAAGTTTAAATTTAAGGTTATAATTCCTAATGTATATAATTATTTATTTATTCTTAATTATAACATTAAATACTATTGTTATTATTAATTTCTATTAGTATAGAAGGTGGGCACTCTATTACTCAATTACAAACATTTTCACACGTTTAGTTATTTCTTTAGAAATTCTTAAATGTATTTCAAGTTTGAGTAAGGTTTGATTAGTTCATAACAGGCATTAACCTCATATTATTATATGAGGCTATATTATGAGGTTTGGTATGTTGGCGTTGGAGTCGCATCTAACCTACCACACCAAAAAAAAAATATTCAGTACGTGATATTCTGGTTTACACAGGTTTTTATTGTAAAACAAGGTGTTGCTTTCACTTTGGAAACGTGTGATTTACACTAACGTTCGATCCAAAAGTTATTGCCACATAATCACCTTCCTTAACTAATTAGAGGGGTATATTTTCTAAATATTAAATATAATTTACTTTGTGTTTCTATGTCATATAGTACACGATAATTCAAAGACTTATCATACAGAAATGCACGTTATTTATGTGGTCAAATCAAATATTTGTGATAATCATTCTGCAAAATGTATTTCGGGTCTAGAACGCTTTTCAGTTGCAGTCAATAGAAAAATAAGTGCTGGCTCTAAGTAAAATCAAAAGAAAATTTTATTTTACTTTACGTTTAAAATAATGTCAAAATGACTAAAATTGTAAGTGATAATGTAAAATCATATGCATATACAGGGCGAGCCACTACTTATTTAATGTAGAGAGCATATACTATATTACAATTAATTAAAATTTTAATGAAAAATGGCATCGAGGTATTGTGACGTTGTCACATTAAATAATTGCTTGTTTTCAATTGTCTTCCTGTTTCGCCCTAATATTAAAAAATGGTTGACAACTGCATGAAAATTTATATATCAAGCTGTCATTTAATATATGGATGTTTTCTCCGCTTAAAATTCAATTGCTTAATTAATGCATTTTCTAAAGTTGTTGGTAAAATAATATCAAAAGTTGTAAAAGATTTTCAAATATACAATAATACACGCAACATTACAATACTTAAAGAAAATTCATTATTACTTATGCTCAGTATTACGTGTTGTATATACAATATTATTTATATAAATTTTGTTATCTAGATGATGGATAATACAATCGAAGTTTCCAAGTATAAAGGACAATTCGAACCGCTTTATGTTGAACAATTTCTATTAAAATATATAAATTTTGAATTGATTGAATGTTTTTCACCATATGTCATACATATGTCAGTTATTTACATTATTGTCATCTTCACTCTGCAATATTATATGAAGTCCAAGCAACCGTATCAGCTCCGTGGACCACTTTTCTTCTGGAATACTTTATTGGCATTATTTAGTATTTGTGGAACAATAAGAATGGTTCCTGGATTGTGGATCATTATTCGTGATTTTGGATTCACATTTTCTGTGTGTAATAGTAGTTTTGCTTTAAAAAATCACCCCACTGAATTCTGGGTTTGTATATTTGCATGTTCAAAAATCATTGAATTTGGCGATACATTGTTTATCGTCTTTCGAAAACAGAAATTAATATTCTTACATTGGTATCACCATAGTTTAACTTTAATTTTAACAACATACAATGTTTCGGGCAAACTTTCTACTGGGTATTGGTATAGCGCAATGAATTTGTTGGTTCATAGCTTCATGTATATGTATTTTGCTGCAAAAGCAATAAAAGTAAAGGTGCCTCGTTCTATTGCTATGATAATTACAATAATTCAAATTCTTCAAATGATCATCGCTTGTTTTGTTACTATATGGTCTGCAAGTCAGTATTTTACAGGAAAACACTGTGAACAAAATTATCAGCTGATTATTTTTTCAATGTTTGTATATACTACTCATGCTGTATTGTTTCTTTGTTTATTTACAAATACATACTTAGATAAAAGACATAAGTCAATACTGCAGCAGCGAAAAGATAATTGATGCGCTATTATCTTGATTACAACTTGTAATTCTCCTAAATGTTTTGATAATTTTAAAAAACGCAAATTGTTAATTTTTTATATTTGAATATTATCAAAATGTTACTTACTACAATTTTGTACTTCGTTTCACTAATGTCATTCAATGGAATAAACTGTATTTCGTGTTATATTTGAAATAAAAGTATTATGAAAGTAAAGTTTTCAATTACTATATATTTATATATGTGTATTAATTACTTTTATTAAATTCTTATATGAAATACAAAATTTTAGTTAAGGTATTTCAAATGAAAATTCATTTTAAGGGATGTTCAAGCTTTAAAATAATCAATATTTTATCACTTGGAAATAGGCACTTTTCCAAGTCTTTGAAATATTGTTTTATCACAATATTTTCAAGTGATAAAATATTCCAAGTGAATATTTTATCACTTGGAAATTTTATCACTTGGATATTTCATGTTAAAACTATTGTTTTAACATAAAATATCACAGATAAAACACTTATAAAAATGCAGATAATAAATTATAAATGTAATTTTAACTTCTTAACAATGAATAACAATTAGATAATGTTACAGATATATAATTTTTTTTATGATTTATAAATTCGAAGAGGCAAATAAAATATTAAGATAAACATTTAGAGTTTTAGAATAGAAAGTGATTATTTTTAGAACATTTGCTTAATTTGCAGTCTTAAATTTAAACAAGGAAAAATAGAAGACAAGTGATAAAAGTAAGGTTACTTCAAGCGAACTGTTGAGGAAAAATAAAAAAAGTAAATAAAAACTTAATTTATCTTTGTACTTAATTATTTTTCTGAAATATACGTATTTTTTAATATTTATATATACAGTAAAACCTCGCTTTGTAACCACCTGGCTTATGTGATCACTCATCAAATTCGATTAGAAAATCCGAAACTTAATCCTTACATGAAACATAAATAATATTCATATCATTTTATATTAAAAGTGACACGATCATAAACTCTTTTATTCCGAAATAGAATATCAATTATAAAATAAGCCAGTGGAAAACAAAACCTGTTTAATTTTCCCTCCTCTCAGAAAGTAAGAAAATTACAGGAAAAACTTATAACGAATATATATCAGTCAGATCTTCCACTTCTCCTTCGACAATAAACCTTTCAGATACCATTATTTAATTTTTATTCGCATTTAAATATTCAAATAATACTTTATTTTTTTACTCCTTAATAATATCGAATTTACAATAATTTGCATACATTAAATTATTACTTTCAGATAATACATAGCTAATTAATTTTTGTATTTTAAATTTTTTAAGGCTTTACTCAATACATTTAGATTTATTTAAATCATATAAATATTAAATTGAAGTAGATTGATGAGTCACCGCTTAGGCAGAATTCTCTTCTTGTTATAAAGGTATAACGACATATAGAAATGATGTACATTTTATTGCCCATTTTTATGTAGTATTAAAAAATTCAAATTCTTTTCGAAAAAACTTGAATTTATTAAACGCATTCGCTCTCCTAGTGAAGGTTATTAACCCATTGATTATCTGCGCATCGTGAATAATGGCTAAAACACAACTAATTAGCCGTGTTTTAGTTATTCGACCACAATAGTTTATAGAAACCCCTTCTTAAAACTCGTTCACTATTATTGCGTGCCTATTTGTCCTATTATAAATATGGTCCATGGAAAAACTTTAGCATCTTTCACGGAACTCGATCCCGAAATTCATCAGAGTGGGTGATTGATAGATACTCTTACCACTTTTCGCCAAGCTGTTATCATTAAGATTGAATATACAGTAATTAATTACAATAAAAGAAGTTACGATTAAGAAACTAAATTTTCTATCGTTTATAATACATAAATAGGTGTATTCAATAAAACACACTTACTTCAATATTGTTTAAGTTTGAGAAAATAAGTTAAATGTAATGATGCTAACCTTCATCTATTGTATTGTTTGTAGATAAGAGGATGAATGGATGTCATTAGAATTTACTTTCCTCATGCGAAAATCACTTTTGAAATTGTTCTTTCACAATAAAACGTTTAAGCGTGGATCGTGATTTTCATATAAATTTTACCCGAATCTTTCCTTTTATATTATTTATATTTAAAGACTTACGTGTGAAAAGCTTCTAATTTTATTTACTTTATGAAAAGCTTTTGTTCTTTTCTTATTTTTACTGCTTTTTTTTTCTTTATCATCATTCAANTCAAGGGCGCAAGTGCTGTATTAAATTCTCAAAATATAGCATCTTCCTCTTCTTCTGAACCGGTGCCAGCTTCCTCTTCTGAGCCGTTGCCATCTTCCTTTTCATCTCAAATCACCATGCCGCCAGGTGAAAACAATAGTTGTACAAAAAATGAAAAGATATTGAAAGTTTCTGATGTATCTCCACTTCCAAAACCCAAAAAAACGGTTTCCAATCGGGGACGCAAACAACAACAGGCAGAAGAAATAACAGGATCCCCATATAAAGTCTCATTAGAAGCAAAGAATAAAAATAAAAAATCCGGAACTCGCAGAAAGGCAACGGTTTTAGAGAATCCGGATTCAAAGTTAAGTAAAAGAAAGAAGCAAACAAGTCCCAAGGAACCAGAAAATAACGGTGTAAATACATATTGTATATATTGTCATGAAGAATATGGCATTACTCAGGAGGAGTGGATTATGTGCTATAAATGTAAACTGTGGGCTCATGTTGACTGCACAGATGTAGAAAATGACTATGCTCAATTCATTTGTGACAAGTGTAGAAAATAAGTAAATAAACAACATTCTAAAGCAATGTAAAAGCATATTTTCATTTATTATCTGTTTGATTTTTTTGTAATTAATTTTTGTTCGTATTTTTTAATATTTATATATACAGTAAAACCTCGCTTTGTAACCACCTGGCTTATGTGATCACTCATCAAATTCGATTAGAAAATCCGAAACTTAATCCTTACATGAAACATAAATAATATTCATATCATTTTATATTAAAAGTGACACGATCATAAACTCTTTTATTCCGAAATAGAATATCAATTATAAAATAAGCCAGTGGAAAACAAAACCTGTTTAATTTTCCCTCCTCTCAGAAAGTAAGAAAATTACAGGAAAAACTTATAACGAATATATACCAGTCAGATCTTCCACTTCTCCTTCGACAATCAATTTTTCAGGTACCATTTTATTCGCATTTTAATATTCAAATAATACTTTAGTTTTTTTATTCCTTAACAATATCGAATTTACAATAATTTGCATAAATTAAATTAATATTTTCAGATAATACATAGCTAATTAATTTTTGTATTTTAAATTTCTTAAGGCGTTACTCAATACTTTTACAGTTAGTTAAATCATATAAATATTAAATTGAAGTAGATTGACAAGTCACCGCTTAGGCAGAATTCTCTTGTTGTTATAAAGATAT